GATCCCCCTCCGGCATGCCACAGTCCAGGTGTTAGTCCCCTTGAAGCAACTTTTCCATCCCTATTGTGGCCAGAAAGAGTCCCTGTGTGTTTTAAAATTCGCCTCCCCATTGAAGTCAATGGCGTTTCGGGCGGTTCGCCGGTTCGCGAACATTTGCGGAAGTTCGCGTTCGCCGTTCGCGAACCGAAAATTTCGGGTTCGCGACATCACTACTTGTGAATACAGCACCAATATGTTTAACAAATTAAGTTTTTCATGCAACATTAGCTTGCTTTTTTCATATTGAAAATGTTGTACATATTGAAAACTTAAAGGAACACTGTTGCGTTAGGAATACAAATATGTATTTCTAACTCCATAGTGTCTATATTAATGTACCCATTGGGTACGACGTTAAAGAAGAGGCATGGCCTCTTTCGGTGTGGTTCAATCCAATGCTCCTCATTGACGAGCATTGGGGACCTAATGCACATGCATGGTGAGCGCTGCATACGCTTTCCCTCATAGGAAAGCATTGAATCAATGCTTTGCTACTGTGCTTCAGTGTCATGTGACCAAGTTTTACTTGTCTTTAGTGGCTATCCTACTGATTACATTACGATGCAGGGTTAAGTGGACAAGAACACTGCACCCAAACCACTTTATTTAGTTGAAGGGATCTGGGTGACTATAGTGTTCCTTTAAAAGGGAACCAGCAAACATTTCATGTAGTGGTCTTGGTACATAGACACTACCTGTTTTGTCCATTTCTAAGAATTGGCAATGTTTACATTTTGCTTAAAGGAAAGCTTTCACTAGAAATTTTATTTTTACTGTAGTAATGCTTGTTGATAATAAATTATTTTCTTTTTGAATGGCCTATGTGAAAATAGCTGTAAATCTCTTAAAGGTAGTTCCATAGATCACCCTCTACCAGTTGCAATCTCTGGTCTTTCCTGCTTCAATCCCTGCACAAAGTGATGATGTCTCTCATCTTGCATTGCCCAGTGCAGTCTTCAAATCAGGGCAGACGTACCGCCAGTGTTAATTTCTAAGAATTAAGAATTCTAGTCAGATTTAGTCGACTAAAACTAGATTAAAACCAAAAGAATCAAGTGACCATAATATGACTAAAAGAAAAATGGCTTGTTAGTCAAAAGACTATGAATAAATTTAAATTTGGCGCCGAAATTAAAGGGACACTATTGTCACCAGAACAACTACAGCTTAATGTAGTTGTTCTGGTAAGTGTAATAGCTCCCTTCAGGCATTTTCATGCAAACACTGCCTTTTCAGAAAAAAGGTGCCCCTAGGAACACCTCCAAGTGGCCACTCCTCAGATGACCACTGGAGGGTCTTCCTGGCTCATGGCTGCACAGTAAGCAGCCCTGCCGTTCAGTGTCCCCACGCATGGAGATGCTGAATTTTCCTCAGAGATGCATTGATTCAATGCATTTCTATGAGGAGGTGCTGATTGGTCAAAATTATCTATGCAAGGTAGACAAGAAAAAAAAAAAAGAAGAAGAAAAAGAATAAGAGAAAAAAAAAGGGTAGCAAGAGAGGTGAGGACGGACAACAGCTCAAATAGCCTGCCCTTCAGTGGGTCCCCACTCAGATCTCAAGCTGGTTTTAGCTCAACTTGTGCCATTATAGAGAGAACATCTCTGAAGCATATCAGACTGGTCCCACCCATACGGGCAGTCCAGATCCGAAAAGCCAGCAAGTTCCCTCTGCACAAGAGATACGGCAACCCCAGACGATCGTTTCAACCTTGTAAGGTATCAGTGAGGTATAGTCAATATCCCTCTATGCAACATGAGCAAGGGGTCCACGTCTGGATTACCCTTCACACTTAAAGGATCACTATAGGGTCAGGAATACATGTTAAAACCACCATCAAGCCTCCTTGGGCCCTTCATGCCTCCATAAATATAGCAAAATATTACTGTATTTAAGCCTGAAGCTGTAACTCTGCATGCTGTTTGCCTCAGAAAAACAAGCAGTCTGCTGACATCATCAGAAGTAGTAGTCTAAACCAATCACAATGCTTCCCCATAGGATTGGCTGAGATTGACAAAGAGGCAGATCAGGGTCAGAGCCAGCATGATTCAAACACAGCCCTGGCCAATCAGCATCTCCTCATAGAGATGAATTGAATCAATGAATCTCTATGAGGAAAGTTCAGTGTCTGCATGCAGAGGGAGGAGATACCGAATGTTTGGATGCATTTTAGGCAGACATGACCCAGGAAGGATCTCTAACTGCCATCTAAGGAGTGGCCAGTTAAGTTATCACTAGGCTGTAATGCAAACACTGCATTTTCTCTGAAAAGACAGAGTTTACAGCAAAAAGCCTGAAGGTAATGATTCTACTCACCAGAACAAATTCAATAAGCTGTAGTTCTTCTGGTGACTATAGTGTCCCTTTAAGGAGAGACAAAAAGGGTAGCAAGAGAGCTGAGGATGGCCAACAGCTCAAATAACCTGCCCTTTGGTGGGTCCCCGCTTAGATCTCAAGCTGGTTTTAGCTCATTGTGCCATTACAGAGAGAACATCTCTGAAGCATATCAGACTGGTCCCACCCATATGGGCAGTCCAGATACGAAATGCCAGCAAGTTCCCTCTGCACGAGAGATAGCAACCCCAGATGATCATTTAACCTCGTAAGGTATCATCAGTGAGGTATAGCCAATATCCCTCTAGGCACCACGAGCAAGGGGTCCATGTCTGGATTACCCTTTACACTTAAGGAGAGAAAAAAAGGGTAGCTACGTTTTTTTTCTTTCCTTAAAGGGACTCTCCAGTGCCAGGAAAACAATCTGTTTTCCTGGCACTGCAGGTCCCCTCTCTCTTCCACCACCCATCCCTGTTTGCTGAAGGGGTGAAAACCCCTTCAGTGACTTACCTGAGACCCCCGCCGACGTCCCTCTGTGGTGGTTGCTCCTCCCCTTCATCACGTCAGCCGGCGGGGGAGACTGATCCTGCAATGCTGTGTGTAACAGCACCCCCAGGCATAAAAGGGTTAAAC